TGGAGTGAGTGTGTCAGCCTGTGTCACACCCAGGGGAGTGAGTGGAGTGAGTGTGTCAGCCCATGTCACACCCAGGGGAGTGATGAAGTGAGTGTGTCAGCCTGTGTCACACCCAGGGGAGTGAGTGAAGTGGGTGTGTCAGCCTGTGTCACACCCAGGGGAGTGAATGGAGTGAGTATGTCAGCCTTTTCACACCCACTGGGAGTGAATGGAGTGAGTGTGTCAGCCTGTGTCACACACAGGGCAGTGGTGGAGTGAGTGTGTCTGCCTGTATCACACCCAGGGCAATGAATGGAGTGAGTCCCTCAGCCCGTGTCACACCCAGGGGAGTGATGAAGTGTGTCAGCCCATGTCACACACAGGGCAGTGATGGAGTGAGTCCCTCAGCCCGTGTCACACCCAGGGGAGTGATGAAGTGAGTGTGTCAGCCTTTTCACACCCACTGGGAGTGAGTGGAGTGAGTGTGTCAGCCCATGTCACACACAGGGCAGTGAATGGAGTGAGTCCCTCAGCCTGTGTCACAACCAGTGGGAATGAATGGAGTGAGTGTGTCAGCCTGTGTCACACCCTGGGGGAGTGAATTAAGGTGTCAGTACCAGAGGGTGCAGATTACTGAGGCCGAGGGAGGGGCTGCCTGCCCCACTGCCCTTGCCCTGGACTTGGCCTTGTGGACAAATATCCTGATATAGACTCAGGTGCAAGTGAAGGAAATCGGCTCAAAGAAGTAAATTACTTGCTGAGGATCGTAGAGGTGCACACAGATAATCACTTCATAAACCAATTTCACTTAAATACAGTGTTTTTTCTGTTCTGTGAAACTGTTATTGGCATTTTATGGGGATTACATTGAATCTGTAAGTAGCTTTGGGCGACCTGGGTGTTTTAGCAGTGTGGATGCTCGCAGTCCATGAACATGGTATGCCCTTACGTTTCTTCGTGTCTTCTCCAGTGTCCTTCAGCAATGCTATGTTTTCGTCGTAGAGACCACTTGCCTCTTTCATCACACTTGTTCCTGGGTGAGTTCTGTGTGTTCCTTTTAGAAACAGGGTTGCTTCCTGATGTTTTCCAGATGACAACTCACTGTAATAGCACTGCTGAGTTTTAGGTGCTGACTTTGAATACTGCATCTTTGAATACTGCTGAATTTGTTTATTATTTCTTTTTTTATTTTTTTATTTTTATTTTTTTTATTTTTTGACAGGCAGAGTGGACAGTGAGAGAGAGAGACAGAGAGAAAGGTCTTCCTTTGCCGTTGGTTCACCCTCCAATGGCCGCCGCGGCCGGTGCGCTGCAGCCGGCGCACCGCACTGATCCGGTGGCAGGAGCCAGGAGCCAGGTGCTTTTCCTGGTCTCCCATGGGGTGCAGGGCCCAAGCACCTGGGCCATCCTCCACTGCACTCCCTGGCCACAGCAGAGAGCTGGCCTGGAAGAGGGGCAACCGGGACAGAATCCGGCGCCCCAACCGGGACTAGAACCCGGTGTGCCGGTGCCGCTAGGCGGAGGATTAGCCTAGTGAGCTGCGGCGCCAGCTGTTTATTATTTCTGATAGTTTTTTGTGTGGTGTCATTGAGTTGTCTATATTTGAGGTCACATGATTGCAAACAGAGACAGTTTGACTTCCTGTTTTCCAATTTGGTTGTGCTTTGTTTCTTTCTCTTACCTAATTGCTCTTGCAAGGACTTCTGGTACCATGTTGAATGAAAGTGGTGAGAGTGAGTCTCCCTGTCTTGTTCCAGATCTTAGGGAAAAAGCCTTCAGCTTCTACCCATTTAATATGACATTAGTATACAGTTTTATGTGAAATGTAGTTCCATTATAAAAAATAATCACATGCACTACAAGATTTTCAGGGGCCTTGGAGGACTTGATGGTCTGCATAGTTTAAGCTCTGTTTGGTAAATGATCTCTGCATTCCGTCTGCGTGTAGCTTGTAGAGAATATCCTTAAACCAATCATGTGGTGGATTCTTTGCCAAGTGAGTCTAACAGCGTTGGTGCCACAGATTGGTAGGGGCAGAGTCTGTTGATTTCTTGTGCTAGGAACAAAATGATTATTTGCCAAATGCCTGGATTTGATGTTTCTGACACTGAAATGACAATGAAGTACAGCAGCTCTCAGGGGCAGGTGAACACTGATCTAGATTATATTCTACACTTCCCTCAAAAGTCCTGAAATAGCAGTGACTTAAAGAGAGGAGTTGATCTTTCTTTCATATGAACAAGGGCCACATTCAGAAACTCCAGGGCCCTGGAGAAATCCTCATGTCAGCAGATTGCAGATGTCTTTATCTTGTTGCTTTGTTATCCTTAACTCATTTCTACTAGTTCATGGACCAAGAGAGCTGCTGGGCTCCTGTCATCTCATCTGCATTATACCTAGCAGTAGGAAGGAAAGGACAAAGCTGGGTGCATTTCCCGCTCACACACCACATGTTAGCATCTTGCCATCCAGGTGTTTGTCAGATGGCCATTCGTACATTGCGGTAAGCCAGGAGGTAGTCTCTGAGAACAGGACTATGCAGACTTGTGCTGTAAAGAGTCCCACATCCGTTAGGCCATTTGGCTTCTGCTCCAGCTATGTCTCTGCCATGCAGTTTGAACACAAACCTAGACGACACATAAATGACCAAGTGTTGGCACATCCCAGTCAGACTTTATGGACACTGAAATTTGAATTCCATGTAATTTTCACACTTCATGAAATATCATTGTTTTGATTTTTTTCAATCATTTAACAATGTCAAAGCCATTTTAAAGTTGTGACCATATGAAAACTGGCAGTGCTGTCTGGCTTGGTGTGCCCCAATCCCATTCTGGAATGCCAAAAGTCCAGTCAAAGCTCAAGTGTTCTAGAAATAGGAAAGGGCTTTATGTTGATCAAAGGTTCAATAAATCAAGAAAATATAACAATGAACATATAGTAACAGAGCCCCAAAATATATGCAACTGAACTGACAGAATGGAGGAGAAATAAATAGTTCTACAGTGGTGGTTGGAGATTTTAGTATCCCACTTCCATCATAGATGAATAAGGAAATTGAAAACTCAATATTAAAGCAGTCAACATAATGGGCCACACTAGTCTAATGAAGTTAAAAACTCACATGATCATCTCAATTGATCCAGGAGCAGCACTGGGCAAAACCCGACCTCTTTGAGTGATACGAGTGCTTGTTAGCCTTGGAGAAGAATGGGCTTTCTATCATGGCAGAGGCCAAATAGGAAACAGCCATGGGCAGCATGAAACCCAGTGGGGAGAGACTGAAACCTTTCCTTAAGACCAGGAGCAAGAAAAGGATGCCTGCTCCCCTGCTTCTATTCAACACAAGAATGAGACTAGGGAGCACAGTTAGGCAAGAAAAATCAATACAATGAATCCAAATTGGAAATAAATAAAACTGTATCTATTCACAGATCAAATCATGTTATATTTTAAAAAAAGCTTTAAAGAATACACACCACACACACACACATACACACACACGAGCTATTAAACCCAGTAAATACACTTGCAATGTTGCAGAATACAAAAATCAACCTATAGAGATCAACCTATAGAGTATTTCCGTATTGCAGCAATGAATAACCCAAACAGGAAATCAATAAAATACTTCAATTCATAATGGCACCAAAAATAATAGAATACTTAGGAATGCATTTAAACTGAAGAGGAGAAAGACTTGTACATGGAAAACTACAAAACGCTGGTGCAGGAAATTAAAGAGACGAACACATGGCGAGACATCCTGTGTTCATGGATTGGAAAACTCGATGTTGTTGGGAAGACAATGCAGCACTACCCAGAGTGTTTTACAGGCTTGCTGCACCTGTGATCACAACCCCAACTGCCGCTCGGGCAGAAATAGAACACTCCGTCCTCAAATTCGCATGGGATTTCAGCAGAGCCCAAGTAGCCAAAACAAGCTTGAAAAGGAAGCGTTGGAGCCCTGCACACTGATTCTGAAATGCAGTGCAGACACTGTGTTGAAAACAGTGTGGAACTGGCATATGGCAGACTTCACAACCAATGGGAAGGAATTTTGAGTTCAGAAATAAAACCCACACCTGTAGCCAGTTTATTTTATTTATTTGTCACACATCTTCAATTTTTAGAGCAGTTTTAGGTTCACAGCAAAACTGAGAGGAAGGTCCAGTAGTATCCATGTACCTCCACTCCTCCCATGCAGCCCCCAGCTGTCAGCGTCCCCCATCTGAGTGGTGCATTGTCTCCACTGAGGGTCCTGCATTCCAGGGCTTACACTTAGTATTGAGCATTCTGTGGGTTTGGGCAAAGGTATAAGCACATAAATCCGCCATTGCAGTGGTCATCTGCCATTGCAGTGGTCAGTGTATTTCTGCAAGGGGTGTAGGTCCATCCCATGAGAAAAGGGCGCCCTCTTCCACACACAGTTCTGGGATCACTGGGTATTCACATGCGGGAAAATGAAGTTGCACTCCAACCTCATCCTTGCACAAAAATCAAAGGAAGTTGAATACCTAATTGTAAGAGCTAAACCATAAAGCCATCCAAAGAAAACATCATGAATCTTACAGCCTTGGATTTGGCAGTGGTTTCTTAAATATGACAAAAAAAAAAAAAAAAACCCACAAGCAATGATACAAAGTATCTGATCTGAGCTCCCAGGTGACGTCACCTGCTAAGCCTGACACAGAATTACAAATGGATGCCGATTCAAGTTACACGAGCTATGTGGACCAGGTACACTGAAGCAGAGGAGTATAATGGAGGCTGTCTGGCTGGGGAGCAGGCAAGGGGGTCATTGTAGAGTGGAAATACAGTGACTTGTGAGTGTTGAAACACTTTTGAAATGGATAACACCAGTGGTTGTGCAGCGGTTGTGAACTTAGTGCCATGAGTCATGCACTTGAGAAAGACTAAAATTTTATGTTTTCCACTGCAACAGAGAAGTCAAAACCCAGAGTGTGGCTACTTCAAGAATAAAAAGGGAAGGGGTGTTTGGGGGTGAGTTTCGTGCTTTGTGTCCCCCCCCCCCCCAAACTCACCAGGCTGTTGCCAACCTCCACGCCTACAGCCGTTCATTTGTCCTGAGATAAGTGTGTGTGGACCCTGTCGTGTCCCCAGACCACAGAAGCTGTGCTTTTAGCCTTCATTAAGTAGAAAACCTGAATACCCAGTTAAGCTGTTATGCTTTAAAGTGTGGCTTCCTTCCTTCCTCCATTCCTCCCTCCCTCCCTCCCTTCCTCCCTCCCTTCCTTCCTTCTTTCCTTCCTTCCTTCCTTCCTTCCTTCCTTCCTTCCTTCCTTCCTTCCTTCCTTCTTCCTTGCTTGCTAGCTAGCTAGCTAGCTAGCTATATGCAGGGATACTTCAAAAACTTTGTGGAAAAACAAAATTAAAGTTAAGTTAATTTTGGCACAAAAAATTTGAAATCCATGCAAAGCTTTTGCTGTAATGTGCATTTTCCCCTGAACTTTTTGAAAATCTCTTATTTTTGCATTAATGAACTTTTTTTTAATAAACAAAGAGTGCATTCTGTCTTCCTAACTGTCCATCATCAGTGTGGTGTGAATATGACTTGCTATCCAAGCTCATGCAGGGGTTTAAACCCCAGAGGCATGGGGTGAAAAGTCACATACGATGCTGTCAGAGGCTGAAGTGATTGATTGAATTAGTCAGTTCTCAGAGCCATGTGCTTGTAATTGAGTCTCGGTGCCTTTATAAGGAGAGGCAGAGGAGGACCACAGAGACACACAAACTCCTGCCACGGAGTGTGCAGCCCAAGGGGCCCTTGCAAAACCAGTGTCATGCTGCATGGACTCCAGAGTAAACCTCTTCTCACGGAAGCAGGCTTCCTTGGATATTTTGTTACGGCAGTGAGATGATGAGTAATACAGTCATCTGCCTTATACATCTGTCTGTCATCTATGTGTCTACCTATCTGCCATCCATCCATCTGTCCATCCATTCTACCTGTGCTCTGTCAGTTTCTGTTTCTGTCATCTTTCTGTGTCTGTCTCCTATCTATCTGTTTGCACATCCATCCTGTCTCATGTTGTCTTATCTATCTCCTCCCTCTCTCCCTCCCCCTCCCTCTCTTTCTCTCTCTCTCTCTCTCTCTCTCTCTCTCTCTCTCTCTCTCTCTTTTCTTTATCTTAGATCATCTCCTACAGCTACCCTGGTCTCCTTGGGTTTCTTTGACTACAGATGGGGGCCAGCCAGGCAGTATATTCCCTTTGTGTTGGGACCTAATGAATTAGAAGTACACTACTACTGTTTACTAATATATACGTGATTGTGGTATTTACAAATGTTTAGTGCACCATTGAGTAAAATAGCTGTGGCAGTGCTCAGTTCCCTGGGACAGACAAGGAGAGTGGCAGGAATGGTGTGGGAAAGGGCCCTGGAAAAGACACGGCTCTCCTGGGTCCTGCACGCCGGGTTCCACACAATGGCCATGGCTTCCTCTAACTTGCGCCTGTGGACAGGGGTCTCTGTTTCTCAGTTCTTCAGCTGCCAACACCTGCCCCCACCCTGGGAGCAGGGTGACTGCTGGGTCCCCCGAGAACCACACTGCCCAGGGAACACTGCTCTCCTGAGGGGGTACAGAGGAAGTCTCAGCCTGGATCTCGAAACTCGCTCGCTCCTGATTTCCCTGGGGAACCTCGTGTCCCAGAACCTCCCACAGCCCTGGCAGCCGGAAGGCTCCGCGGGGGCTCGGATGCTGCTTCTCCAGACTCGGAGTCCTTGTGCACGTTGCTCCCTGGTCTGAGGCTCAGCTGGCAATGCCAGCTGCTTTCACTTCCCCTGTCCAAGGCCCCTGCTGATGGTTCCAGTGAGCCTCAGCCGCCCAGGCTCTCCCCCAGGGACCTCGCTTAGGCAGGCACACAGCCTCCCTCACTTCCCCTGGGTCATCTGGAGCCTGGGCTTGGTGGAGCTCCTGCCCTGCCCTTCATCCTTCCATGACCCCAGGCCACCCAGCCAGTCCAGCTATATGGTATCCCCAGGTGGCTGTGACCTCACATCAGGCTCTGTGAACACCACCCACCTCTGCACCTGCACAGAAATTGGCACAGCAACCAGCCCTCCTCTGGCCTCCTGAGTGACACTCTGAGAGACCACAACCTCGCCCTGGAAAGTCCAGACACCTAGACAGAGAGATGAAATAGCCCAGAATTAGACACAAGTGCCCCCAAAATAAGCTTGTGCCTTTGATCACGGTCAGCTGTTCAACATCTAAAAACAACCAGCTGATCAACTCAGATACCAGCTGTGGGTGGCAGGGGCTGCCCCTCGGCAAATGGAGGACAGAGCACCAGCTAGAGAACTAGCAAAGGGCAAGATTCCCAGAAAGGCTACAGCTATTGATTCAACACATATCCCACTGTCTGGGTCACACCCAGTAGTGCACATGCACCTGCTGACTCACACCCGTCACTGAGTCACACTGCACAGTGCACATGCACCTGCTGACTCACACCTGTCACTGAGTCACTGCACAGTGCACATGCACCTGCTGACTCACACCTGTCACTCTCTGAGTCACTGCACAGTGCACATGCACCTGCTGACTCACACCTGTCACTGAGTCACACTGCACAGTGCACATGCACCTGCTGACTCACACCTGTCACTGAGTCACACTGCACAGTGCACTTGCACCTGCTGATTCACACCTGTCAATCTCTGAGTCACTGCACAGTGCACTTGCACCTGCTGACTCACACCTGTCACTGTCTGAGTCACACTGTGCAGTGCACATGCACCTGCTGACTCACACCTGTCACTGAGTCACACTGCACAGTGTACATGCACCTGCTGACTCACACCTGTCACTGAGTCACACTGCACAGTGCACATGCACCTGCTGACTCACACCTGTCACTGAGTCACACTGCACAGTACACATGCAGCTGCTGACTCACACCTGTCACTCTCTGAGTCACTGCACAGTGCACATGCACCTGCTGACTCACACCTGTCACTCTCTGAGTCACTGCACAGTGCACTTGCACCTGCTGACTCACACCTGTCACTGAGTCACACTGCTCAGTGCACATGCACCTGCTGACTCACACCTGTCACTCTCTGAGTCACTGCGCAGTGCACATGCAGCTGCTGACTCACACCTGTCACTGAGTCACACTGCACAGTGCACTTGCACCTGCTGATTCACACCTGTCAATCTCTGAGTCACTGCACAGTGCACTTGCACCTGCTGACTCACACCTGTCACTGTCTGAGTCACTGCACAGTGCACTTGCACCTGCTGACTCACACCTGTCACTCTCTGAGTCACACTGCACAGTGTACATGCACCTGCTGACTCACACCTGTCACTGAGTCACACTGCACAGTGCACATGCACCTGCTGACTCACACCTGTCACTGAGTCACACTGCACAGTGCACATGCAGCTGCTGACTCACACCTGTCACTCTCTGAGTCACTGCACAGTGCACATGCACCTGCTGACTCACACCTGTCACTCTCTGAGTCACTGCACAGTGCACTTGCACCTGCTGATTCACACCTGTCACTCTCTGAGTCACTGCTCAGTGCACATGCACCTGCTGACTCACACCTGTCACTGAGTCACACTGCACAGTGCACATGCACCTGCTGACTCACACCTGTCACTGAGTCACACTGCACAGTGCACATGCACCTGCTGACTCACACCTGTCACTGAGTCACACTGCACAGTGCACATGCACCTGCTGACTCACACCTGTCACTGTCTGAGTCACTGCACAGTGCACATGCACCTGCTGACTCATACCTGTCACTGAGTCACACTGCACAGTGCACATGCACCTGCTGACTCACACCTGTCACTGAGTCACACTGCACAGTGTACATGCACCTGCTGACTCACACCTGTCACTCTCTGAGTCACACTGCACAGTGCACATGCACCTGCTGACTCACACCTGTCACTCTCTGAGTCACTGCGCAGTGCACATGCAGCTGCTGACTCACACCTGTCACTGAGTCACACTGCACAGTGCACTTGCACCTGCTGATTCACACCTGTCAATCTCTGAGTCACTGCACAGTGCACTTGCACCTGCTGACTCACACCTGTCACTGTCTGAGTCACTGCACAGTGCACTTGCACCTGCTGACTCACACCTGTCACTCTCTGAGTCACACTGCAGTGTACATGCACCTGCTGACTCACACCTGTCACTGAGTCACACTGCACAGTGCACATGCACCTGCTGACTCACACCTGTCACTGAGTCACACTGCACAGTGCACATGCAGCTGCTGACTCACACCTGTCACTCTCTGAGTCACTGCACAGTGCACATGCAGCTGCTGACTCACACCTGTCACTGAGTCACACTGCACAGTGTACATGCACCTGCTGACTCACACCTGTCACTGAGTCACACTGCACAGTGCACATGCACCTGCTGACTCACACCTGTCACTCTCTGAGTCACTGCTCAGTGCACATGCACTTGCTGACTCACACCTGTCACTGAGTCACACTGCACAGTGCACATGCACCTGCTGACTCACACCTGTCACTGAGTCACACTGCACAGTGCACATGCACCTGCTGACTCACACCTGTCACTGAGTCACACTGCACAGTGCACATGCACCTGCTGACTCACACCTGTCACTCTCTGAGTCACTGCACAGTGCACATGCACCTGCTGACTCACACCTGTCACTGAGTCACACTGCACAGTGCACATGCACCTGCTGACTCACACCTGTCACTGAGTCACACTGCACAGTGCACATGCACCTGCTGACTCACACCTGTCACTTAGTCACACTGCTCAGTGCACATGCACCTGCTGACTCACACCTGTCACTCTCTGAGTCACTGCACAGTGCACATGCACCTGCTGACTCACACCTGTCACTCTCTGTGTCACACTGCACAGTGTACATGCACCTGCTTACTCACACCTGTCACTGGGTCACACTGCACAGTGCACATGCACCTGCTGACTCACACCTGTCACTGAGTCACACTGTGCAGTGCACATTCACCTGCTGAATCACACCTGTCACTGAGTCACACTGCACAGTACACATGCAGCTGCTGACTCACACCTGTCACTCTCTGAGTCACTGCACAGTGCACATGCAGCTGCTGACTCACACCTGTCACTGAGTCACACTGCACAGTGTACATGCACCTGCTGACTTACACCTGTCACTGAGTCACACTGCACAGTGCACATGCACCTGCTGACTCACACCTGTCACTCTCTGAGTCACTGCTCAGTGCACATGCACTTGCTGACTCACACCTGTCACTGAGTCACACTGCACAGTGCACATGCACCTGCTGACTCACACCTGTCACTGAGTCACACTGCACAGTGCACATGCACCTGCTGACTCACACCTGTCACTGAGTCACACTGCACAGTGCACATGCACCTGCTGACTCACACCTGTCACTCTCTGAGTCACTGCACAGTGCACATGCACCTGCTGACTCACACCTGTCACTGAGTCACACTGCACAGTGCACATGCACCTGCTGACTCACACCTGTCACTGAGTCACACTGCACAGTGCACATGCACCTGCTGACTCACACCTGTCACTTAGTCACACTGCTCAGTGCACATGCACCTGCTGACTCACACCTGTCACTCTCTGAGTCACTGCACAGTGCACATGCACCTGCTGACTCACACCTGTCACTCTCTGTGTCACACTGCACAGTGTACATGCACCTGCTTACTCACACCTGTCACTGGGTCACACTGCACAGTGCACATGCACCTGCTGACTCACACCTGTCACTGAGTCACACTGTGCAGTGCACATTCACCTGCTGACTCACACCTGTCACTGAGTCACACTGCACAGTGCACATGCACCTGCTGACTCACACCTGTCACTGAGTCACACTGCACAGTACACATGCACCTGCTGACTCACACCTGTCACTAAGTCACACTGCACAGTGCACATGCACCTGCTGACTCACACCTGTCACTGAGTCACACTGCTCAGTGCACATGCACCTGCTGACTCACACCTGTCACTGTCTGAGTCACTGCTCAGTGCACATGCACCTGCTGACTCACACCTGTCACTGAGTCACACTGCACAGTGCACATGCACCTGCTGACTCACACCTGTCACTGTCTGAATCACACTCTGTAGTCAATCCAGAGAAATATCAGGTTGCTTTTACAATCAATTTCTTCATTCATTTTTTATTTAAAAATCAGAGTTAGAGATAGGCAGAGGAGACAGAGACAGAAAAGGAGAGAGATTTACATCAGCTGGTTTACTATTTCAAATGGCCATAATACCTGGGTCTAGGCCAGGCAGAAGCCAGGAGGCAGGAGGCAGGAGCCAGGAGCTTCATCCAGGTCTCCCACGTGGGTGTGGTGAACAAACACTTGGGCCTTCTTCTGCTGCTTTTCCAGGAGCATTGGCAGGGAGCTGGATCAGAAGCAGAGCATCCAAGACTTGAACTGGTGCCCATATGGGATGCTGGCTGTGGCTTTTATCCCCTACCCCACAATGCTGGCCCCTATAATTTTGAGTGTAACACTGAGTATTAATGGTGTTGAGATATACCTTGAGTTCATGGATCTATTTTTACCAAGCTTTGAAGAATAAACCCTCCCTGATTAATGTCTCACAGGAACAATGCGCTATCTCTGTGTAGAGCCATGTTTGGCCTCCCAGTGGTCTGTGCCCTTGAGCTGTTTTCCAGGAACACTGAGAAGAGTCCAGTGCCTTCCACACAATCTTTCCTGGTCTCCTTGGAAACCAGCGACTCACAACCTTCCCGCATAAATTCTGCAGCACACCTCTGTCTGTTACCAGTACCAGGCACAGACCGAGAGTGCAGTGGGAAAGCCGGGGCTGCACAGCATGAGACAGGTGCACCCCCACGAGGAAGCTCCATGAGTCAGTCTCTTACTGCTCACTGCAGGGTTCCCAATTGGGTCTTGGGCCCACAAGTCTTCAGACAGCCCAGAATCAATACTGAGACCTCTGTTTTGTGATTTTGACAGGAGGAGACCCCTCCAAGTGCTGGGGCTCTCCTCCATGTGAAAGACAAACAGACTGCATCACACAGACCCCCTTGAAGAGGTGAGATGCTGTGGACGCCCCTGCTTGCACTGGCTGGCAGCTGTGACAGGCGTGTCAGCGTGAGATATGGCCTGTGGGCTCATAGTACTTCCTCATTTAGGGGAACTAGACTTTCTGGCCACTGCATGATATTCAAAACAATTCTAAGAGTCCCTGTCAAAACACAGATTTTTAAACTATGCTGTGGCATAGTTGATAAAAATGCTGCCTGTGACATTGGTATCCCATGAATCCTAGCTGCTCCACTTCCAATCCAGTTCCCTGCTGATGGCCTGGGAGTACCAGTGGAAAAGTGCAGTGGAAAGCAGTGGAAGATGACCCAAGTGCTTGGGCCCCTGCACCCACGTGGGAGACCCAGATGGAGCTCCTGGCTCCTCACTTCAGCCTGGCCCAGCCTGGGTGTTGTGGCCATTTGGGGAGTGAACCAGCAGATGGAAGACATCTCCCTCCTCTCCTTCTCTCCCTCTCTCCCTCCCTTCTCTCTCCTCCTCTCTGTGTAATTGTCTTTCAAATACACAGAAATAAATGTTGGTGAAGGAAGTCACTACCTGTTTCCAAATGTCCACCGAAACACAGGCATTCTCATGATGACAGTGATGAGTGCTCCTGTTCAATCCATGTGACGATGGACTCAAGGCTTCTGACCAGGGTTGTGGACAGCGCTCTGTCCCCCGAAGTTCACACATGGGCGCCCCAGCCTCTGATGTGACCCTGTTGGGAGACTGGGTCTCTGAGGAGATGACCAAGGTGTGACGAGGTCGCCGGGGGGTGGGTGGCCCTGATCCAACCTGCTGGGGTCCGTGCAGCAGCAGACAAGGAGGACGCAGACCCCACAGAAAGACGCCGACGGGAGAGCTCAGGGAGAGAGCGCTGACTGCAAGCTGCGAGCCGGCCCTAGAAGACACCACTGGCAAACACCTTAGCCCTGGTTTTCCAGCCTCCAGGCCTGTGAGAGTAGACGCCTGTTGTCTGACCCTGGCCTGCTGTGCTTGCGACAGCAGCCTGAGCTGACTGCCACAGCCAGAGGAGAGACGCAGATGGACACCCCTGGGTGACACCGCTCTGTCAGGAGAGCTGTGAGTTCAAATAAAATTCAGGAGGAATGAACTAAAAGTTTAAAGAATGATAAATTTTGTCCTCATTTTCCAACTCACTGGGTTTTCATCAAATATCGTGCTCCAGGTGCTGAACAAATGGAAAATCATTTGCAAAGAAACCCGGGTCCCTTCTACCAAAGCAAAGGCAGCTTTCATTAAAGAATCAAGAACGGATTTTTCAGGTTCTAATGGGACATGGGAGAGGCCCGGCTCTGGCCTGTGTGGAAGATCAACTTCCAGACAGCAGAGGGCGCCTGTCTCCCTGCCGGGCCTGCACTCCCCTAGCACTTTTCCTTCCGAATTCTCAGCAGCAATGCTTTGTGCAAGTGCGGCCCAGCCGCAGGAGTGCAGGAGTCTGCACGTCCCTCCAGGCCTGGAATAAATCAGAGAGGGAGGCGGTTTGCAAATAAATGAACAGTGTGTTGAACAGGAAAAGGTGGGGGTGGTGTTGTGTAGCAGGTAGAGCTGCCACCTGAGACACGGACATCCCATATGGACACAGTCCATGTTCCAGCTGCTCCACTTCCAATCTGGCTCCCTGCTAAGGCACCTGGGAAAGCAGTGGAAGATGGTCCAAGTGCTTGGGGCTCTGCACCTGTGTGGGAGAACCGACTGGAGCTCCTGGCTCCTGGCTTCCAGCTGGTCCAGCCCCGGCCATTGAGGCCATTTGGGGAGTAAACCAGTGGATGGAAGACCTCTCTGTCTCTCTTTCTCTCTCAGTCACTCTCACTCTCTCTGTTACTCTGAATTCCAAGTATATAAAAAAATCTTTAAAAAAGCCATGAGAAGATAAAGCTGGTATCTTTGAAAGGTGGCTACAGTCAAGTGCAGCACAGTTCCGTCTGTAAGTTCGTGGTGCTGGGTGCTCTCTCAGTGCTGGGTGGTCTCTCAGTGCTGGGTGCTCTCTCAGTGCTAGGTGCTCTCTCATGGTGCTGGGTGCTCTCTCTCAGTGCTGGGTGCTCTCTCAGGGTGCTGTGTGCTCTCATCAGTGCTAGGTGCTCTCTCTCAGTGCTGGGTGCTCTCTCTCAGTGCTGGGGGCTCTCAGGGTACTGGGGCTCTCTAAGTGCTGTATGCTTTCTCAGTGCTGGGTGCTCTCTCACAGTGCTGGGTGCTCTCTCAGTGCTGTGTGCTCTCACAGTGCTGGGTGCTCTCTCAGTGCTGTGTGCTCTCATCAGTGCTGCAGGCTGTGTCAGAGCTAGGAGCTCTCTCTCAGTGCTGTGTGCTCTCATCAGTGCTGGGTGCTCTCTCACAGTGCTGTGTGCTCTCATCAGTGCTGCAGGCTGTGTCAGAGCTAGGAGCTCTCTCTCAGTGCTGTGTGCTCTCATCAGTGCTGGGTGCTCTCTCACAGTGCTGGGTGCTCTCATCAGTGCTGCAGGCTGTGTCAGAGCTAGGAGCTCTCTCTCAGTGCTGGGTGGTCTCTCTCAGTGCTGGGTGGTCTCTCTCAGTGCTGGGTGCTCTCTCAGTGCTAGGTGCTCTCTCATGGTGCTGGGTGCTCTCTCTCAGTGCTGAGTGCTCTCTCACAGTGCTGTGTGCTCTCATCAGTGCTGGGTGCTCTCTCTCAGTGCTGGGGGCTCTCAGGGTACTGGGGGCTCTCTCAGTGCTGTATGCTCTCTCAGTGCTGGGTGCTCTCTCTCAGTGCTGGGTGCTCTCACACAGTGCTGCAGGCTGTGTCAGAGCTAGGAGCTCTCTCACAGTGCTGGGTGCTCTTTCTCAGTGCTGGGTGCTCTCACACAGTGCTAGGTGCTCTCTCTCCGTGCTGTGGGCTCTCTCAGGGTGCTTGGGCTCTCAGTGCTGGGTGGCTGTGGGAGAGGGTGGGCTGGTTCAGGAGGAGCACAGGGCTCAGCTGCGTGGAGGAGGCCGAGCTGAACGCCAGCCTGGGTTTGTCCTGGATCTCAGAACCCGGTGCAGGGCCCTCGTGGGGTCCTGGTGTCCTCAGCAGAGCTCCCATTTCCCTGTCCGCTCTAGGCCAGACAAGTGCAGTAGAACTGAAGCCCCTCTGGCCGCGGCAGGCTGAGCACAGGTTGGTGCCTGGGAGTGAGGGCTGCTCGGGGGCGCAGTGGGCTACAGGAGGGAGCCTGAGCTGGTGATGACGTGAGGGGCGGGTCTCAGAGGCTGCCCACAGCTGAGTCACCTTCTGTGCCCACTCACCCCTGAAGCAAGGAGACTCGTGGGCTGTGGGGAGCAACTGGGAGCAACTCGGACTAGACTAAGTTACTGGAATTAAGACTTATTCTATGCATCTGCTCTCCCACATTATGGCGCTGAGAAGGGAGTAACAGCTTCTACACAGCTGCCTCCAGTTCAACCAATAAACTGTAGGACCTGCTCCTGATTGGAGGAGAGCAGCGTACTCGGCGTGTGGGCAGCCGAGTTGGGATTGGTGGAAGAGGACTATAAAGGAGGAGAGAGACAACATGCACCAGGGAACATCTATCTGAAGGAACACCTGTGCAGCCCCCGAGAGAGCCGGCCGGCGGTGTGCCGCTCCCCCGCGGAAGTGGGGAAAGTGGCAGGGGGAACCGCCCCTCCATGGAGGTGGAGGGACGGTAGCCAACCCGGGAAGAACCAGCAGCAAACCCGGGGAGGGCCGAGCAGGCAAAAGAACAGCACAGGGTCCTGTGTCGTTCCTCCATGAAGACGGGGAGCGACAGTGGGCAGCTGGTTAAGTGCGACACATCAGGTCATCCTTTGTGGTTATGAGGTCTCCTCCACTTCCCTGGGCTGGCGTTGTGGCTTTGCAGGTTCAGGGCTGTTGTCCCAGCTGCTGCACTTGCCATCGGCTCCATGCCCATTGCCTGAGGAAAGTGGAAGAAGATGTCCCAAGTGCTTGGGCACCTGTACCCTCATGGGAGACCTGGGGGAAGCTCTTGGCTCCTGGTTTAGGCCTGGCCCAGCCCTGGCTGTTGCAGCCATCTGGGGAGTGAACCAGCAGATGTAAGATCTCTCTCCCTCTCCCTCAACTCTGACTTTCAAATAAAAT